CGCTATTTATGCGTGTGCAGGACGGCGGTGGCAGTTTTCTGCTGAGCCACCTTTCTGTGTGGCTCTAAGCACAAGCCATCCAACTGCTGGCACCTGCTTAATCCCTCACTGCTGTCAGGGCGCCTGCTGCACCTGTGTGTGCTTAGCAGAGTGAAATCCATCCAGGAGCAACTCAGTGTGCTCCGTGACTCCAGCCTGTTTGTGAAGCCGGCTCTTTGCACTTCACTGATACCTGAGATGAGGACCCCAAAGTAGGGAACTTGACTTTATTGCTGCTGGGACACCCAGGTGTGTGTGCAGCATGTATTAAAGATTTATCTCTGGAGGTCGTCCGTTGAATGCTTTGTGCTCCTGTCCCACGCACAGCTAAACCTGCGGTGTCATAAGAAGCAAAGTGCATCCCAGAGATACTGCAGGCTCCTTTTAGCAGAGTAGAAAACGAGGTTATGGTGAAATGAGAGAGCGTGAAAATAGAGAATTATTGTTTCGTGCCCCAAACACTGAAGAGGCTGCGGATTTCTGTGTGCACACTGCAAGCAGAGCTATCTGCTGAAAAGTTCTGCATTAAATACTCAGCAGGCAAATGTCTTTCTGTAGATAACATTCAAAGAGAAGATGTTTAAGCTGTTTGTTTATGGATAAACTCGATGTATTTGGAAGGATTCAGTGTAGTGTTTCCTTACGTACTGATTTCTCCTGCAGGGCTCCTGTCCTGGTTGCACTTGCTCTCCTTGAATGTGGAATGAAGTACGAAGATGCAGTTCAGTTTATAAGGCAGTAAGTTCAACTTCCTTTTCTCCGTTTGTTCTATTTGGACAGCATGCATCTTCAGCAGAGCTTATTTGATTTCTGACTCATTTTCTTCTTGCTATGAGGTAACAGTGGCAGACGTGACTTTGACACGGTTGCTGAGGCTTTGGCCCTTTCTGTCTGTTTACAGCTGAGGTGTTTTCCCCCAACTCTCTTTTCTTTCTGATTTATTGTAAATCTTGGCTTACACATTGAGGCGCTGCACCGAGGACCCCAAAGCTTCTGGAGCTGGGGGAGGCCTGCAGGCAGGGCTGTGAGCTCTGTGGTTGGAGCTGGCTGTGAACCGGTTGCTCCTTGCCCAAAAAACCAGGGTGGTTTGGGCCCCCAGCAGCGCCATTTTCCCAGCAAGAGAGCGAGGGCAGCACTGTGCAGGCGTTGTGCACGAGGGCAGCATCCACTCAGGAGATGTCAGCAGCCCCCTTATCTGGGAAATAGCAGAACTGGTAAAGGATGAGCCTGCGGAGCTCTGCTGGCGCGCTGATAGCATCGGATCTTGAAATGAAGCCCAGCGGGTATGATGATGTTGAATGAGCTTTGCCCAGAAAGCAATTTGTCTCTTTGTGGATTCCCAGGGTCTTTGGTTATCTTTGTAAACTATATTGCTGTCAACAGATTTTTCTGAACTTTGCCCTTTCTTAAATTCCTTTTTTTCCTCTTCCTAGATACAGTACCTTTCACGTTGAGAAGTTCTTTTCTGAGCATCTCTTACGTGTTTCTGTCTGGCTGCCATGGGCTTTGCCTGGCTAATCTCAGTAGCACATGCATCTGCAGGGAAGGGGTGACCTTGTGGTGCTCAGTGCCTGCTGCTGATGGAAATAAACTCTCCCAATGCAAGGAAATCTCCTGAAACTTGCTAACGGGATTTTGATTGTAATATTGGCACGTGGGTAATGAAGTGCATGTGCTGGCCCAGCTCCTTTCCCTGGGCTGCCAGTGGGCTCACAGCTTATCGCAGACACTGTTTTATGGATACAGAAGGGCCTTGAAATATGTGAGCTTGAGTATTGCAGTGACTGAAGCAATACTTTGCCATTGATGTCAGCCTTCGTTCTGTTTGTTTTAGGAAAAGGAGGGGAGCTTTCAATTCCAAACAGCTGCTTTACCTTGAGAAATACCGACCTAAGATGCGATTACGCTTCAAAGATGCCAACAGTCACTGCTGTGTTCAGTAGAAAATCTCAGATGAAGATGGCACTGTTTTCTGGACTCTTGGCACCTGGAAATGTGAATCTGGAATCAAACTGCGTCATCAGATGAGCGGTGGAGTCAGTGCTCCTCAACCTCTGTCCTAATGATGGTGATGATTGGAAAAAATAAAATAAAAAATTAAGAGAAACATTTCAGTGAAGGATTATTTTCTCCTTAAGCTGCAGTTTGAACATCTGCAAGGAGAAAATCAGTTTCCAAACCCTCTGTATTTTTAACTTTTTAAGAAAAGAAATAAAGTAAATTTTATGTCTAAGGAAAACCAGCAGAGCATTGGCTTGTGCAGAAACTATTTTTTTTCTTGGTCTGAGAAAAGTCCCCCTCAATTAGGGCCGCTGCATCCGTTCCAGTGGGACTCTCCTCAGTAGCGTTGCCTTTCCTTGGCAGCCAGGCGTGAGGAGAAGCCTTGGCAGCGCTGGGAGCGACCTGCTGGCCTTCAGCCCCATCTGGGCGCCCTGGGATTCCTGGTGGCTGTGCTGGTGGGGCTGAGCAGCTTCCTGGTGGGCTTCAGCATTGATCCTCAGCCGGGTGTCTGTGGCGAATGTCCTGCAGGCCTTTTCTGATTGGTGGGAGCTAACGACGTTGGCTGTGTGTCTGTCTGTCCAAATCTTACTTCTCCAAAGCATTTGGCTGGCATGTTGCTTGTCTTTGTGTTGTTAGATAAAAGAAATCTATCCTGGCAGAAGACTGATGGTCAGGAGTGACAGAGGTGAGCGAGGGGCAGCTTGGACAAGGAGTGAAGTTTAACTCGCCTGTCTTGAGGAGGAGGAAAAGGCTCCTTGGTGCTGCCTGGGTGCTCGGCCTTGCTGAACAGTGATTCAGGGCTTGGAGGGGGGTCTTGTTTGCATTGTGCATGAGGTGTGAATATAGTATGCACACAGAGATGTCCACACAGAAATGCCTGGGGGATTTTCCCAGCCTGGCCCTCAAGCACAGTTCAGTTTAACCACTGATTGCCTTGTTTTTCATTAGGCTCTTTTAGAGGGAGGATCCCCAGTTACACACCAACGTGTTCACTGTTGGCAGGCCATAAGTGTGCTGTGTGGGCTGGCACCACGTAAGCCCACAGATGAAGTCTGAATCAAGGCAATCATTTCACAGTCTGAAAAAGCAGTTTCATCCAGGCTGCTTCTACCAAACCCCGTTAATGTGGTGCCCTGCCAGCAGGACGCCTTGCTTTCACCTGACGTTGTAGCATTCAGCAATTAAAGGCTGAGGAGCATAATCTCCTGTGAGGTTTTACCATGGGGCACCAAAGGTTTTTGTTTGTCTGTGCCTGTGCTGGGTGCAGACCTGTACCTGTCCTCCACCAATAGCAGCTGCTGGCTGGATGACCTGCCTTCACTGCACCCATTTGACAGTTCTGTTCTTAATTTGCAGCTGAACTGCACAAATATTTTCAGAAAACAAGTGATGCACTTCAGAATTCTCTTCCTCAGAGGGATTTATGGATCTAACAGAAAATAATGGTACTTGCCCAGCCAGACCTTTGAGATCTGCAGCTAAAAACTGCACTGCACTGAGCTCAGTCCATGCCTGACTCAAGCTGTGTTGTTGCACCAAGCTCCTTCTTCCCTTTAAGATGTGTAGTGGTTCAGATTTCTTCAATAGGTGAGAGATACAGAAGTGTGTGCTGTCAGTGCCTACAGTAGGGGAATAATGAATCTGGTCATTTTTCAGTCTGCGTGGAAGGCAGATCGTGCTGAAGGCAGCTGGCTCTGGCTTTTGCCTTCCCCTCGCAAGCTAGAAGCTGATGCTGTAACTGTTTCTGCAATGGAAATGGGTGTCTTTAGTATGATGAAATAGTGGGCAGGTGTTGGGGGTTTGGTTGGAGGGAAGGCGTTGAGCTGGGCTGGTAACAAAAACCCGGAGCCTTCTGAAGAACAATAAAATTAAATAGATTTTACATGCTGTAGGTATAACTGTGCATTCTTCCCCTTAGTTTTCACTCTGATCTATAATGTACTAATTATCACCTACTATGACTGCAGCCTTAATTGAGGGAAGAATACTGGGCTGTCATGCAGCGCAGGCACAGATGAACGGGGGAACAGGCGGCTGGGTGCAGCAGGCACAGCCTTGGTTCAGCACTTGGATGCAGGGCAATAAAGTTCTTGCAGTAAAACATCTCTTCCCTCTGGCTCTTAATAAATGTATTGCAGGTCATCAACATTAATTGCTCTTCTTTGGTCTCATCCATAAAGGCCTTCGGACCGGTTTGTCCGTGCCCCCCTGTTCCTAATCATCCACACTGCGACACAGCTGGAGCTTGGTGGTGGCTTTGCAGCTGCTGGGAGCTGCTGTGCTGCCTTGGAGCAGTGCTGAGAAGAGAACTGTCTTCTTTCTTCAAAATTACTTCTTCAAAAACATCATCATCATCATCCTCGTCTTTGGCAGCGTTCCTGAGAACTGTCAAAGGTTTTTGGTGCAAACCTGCTGTTGTGCCCTGGACGAAACCAGGCCCTGTGCTGCCTGCAGGTGTTGGATGGGGTGCATTGCCTTGGGGTGGCCATCAGTCAGTTTGCAGTGCTGCATCCCGGCCGGTTCCCCCCCTCATTGCTCAGTGCCACTCAGCTGAGATGCATTATTTATTGAAATGGCATTAAGGTGCTACTTTCTGCTGCCGTAGATATCAATCCAATCAACTTTCTTTGCTGCCATCACAGAAATATGTTGCTAGCAGCCCGGAATCACCTTCCTAGCATTTATCAGATTTTCCCACCAGTGTACTAGAACAAATTTCTGGTCCCTGTTGGCAAGGAGATAATAAAGCACTTTGACCACGAGGCTGGAAGCAGCGGCTGTCGGGTTGTGTCTCTCTTGCAGTGAGGATGGCTTTGTGCAGCGTGGTGGTTTTGTTGTTCCTTTGGGGATTTTTAACACCAGGCTCTTGCTTTGTCTTGTCGAGTTCTTACCTCTTCAGTTGCTGTGCAGTAAAGGAACATTTTCTTAACCGAAGGCTCATCACTATAAAAATACCACCGTTCCAATTGCACTGATGGTGTTTCTGTATGATGGGAGCTGCTCGTTTCTCTTGGTAATTCTTTTCACTCCTATCTAAGTAACTTCAGTTACTGATGTGTGCTTTTAATGGGGATCGCTCTTGCTCATGTGCCTGCTCATATCAGTGTTCCTTCTGGAGCAGCTAAGAATAAGCAGAAATGGAGTGACTGCATGGATAGGAAACTGTTGGACTCATGGTCTGCTCTTCTATCGTAGTGCAATTCTAACTAACAAGTTACAAAGCATTTCCTGTAGTTCTGGGTAGTGCTGCTGGTGGGACCAAGCAAAGGAAGCCGTCTCACCGAGCTCACCTGGCAGTTGGTGCAGATGCTGATCACTGCCTGCGTTCTGCTTCCCAGGCCCTGGGCTGGGGAGCACAGAGCAGAGCCTGGCTGGGGGTGGCCCTGTGTGAGCACAGCCTGCAGCGTGGGGCAGCTGGGCTGGGAGCGGGGCTCCTGGAGAGGTGGCTGTGGGTGAGACACAGAGCTCGGGGGGATTTATTTGGGCAGCGGCTGCGGTGATGCTGGCAGGGTGGCTGGAATTGGAGGTGGCTGTGACTGTGCCCTTTCTTTCAGGGCTTAACTTTGTAGATGAATGCAAATGAGGGACGCCGAGAGCCAACGGTGGAAGAAAATTCCTGATCCAAACCTGTGGAGGAATAAGAAGAGCTCCAGTGAGAAAAGAAATGGGTAAGCAGTTGCTTCTTCTCTGCCTGGTGAGGGAAACCGAAGGCACCGAGTCGTGCCGTGACTCCTTTAGGGCTGTGTGCTGTGTCAGCAGCAGGCACAGAGCGGGTCCGGGCCGTCCTCCTGTGCTTCTTGGTGCCGCTTTGGCCTTCGGGGAGCCTTTGCTGAACGCTGGGGCTGCAGGCCTTCATTGAAGGCTCGTCCTGTGCTGAGCGCCCTGCAGGGATGTGCGTGTTGGAGGCCGTGGCGCTGGAGCAGCCCTGTGCTCCTGGTGCTGCTGGTTGTGGTGCTGCAGAGTGGGGCACAGCATGGTGCTCTGCCCGGCAGGATGTGATCTTTGGTAAGGCCAGCGTGCTGAGCTGCTGACCTTCCTGGGCTGCTGTTTTGTCTCTGATTTGTGTTGTCCTTGCTACCCAAAAGGCTGCTGTCTCGTGGGCTCGCTGGGTGCTGTGGTCTTGCTGGTTATTCCAACTGACCAGACTCAGTGCTTTGAGGTACCTTGAGCTGCAGTAATTCTCCATGCAGCCTGAGTCTTCTGCCACTTTGTCTGTGATTTATTGCCATTTCAAATTTCAATTTACAGCAGTGAAAGGGGAGAGGACACTTGTGTGAAATATAAACAGCTTTAGGACCGAAATAAGAAAATTCTCCTAGAGAAAAAGACAGCAGAACCCATCAGGCTGGGGCTGAGCGGGGCTGGGGGAGGTGTTCATGCAGCACCAGAGGGTTCTTGATCTCAGGGCTGCCTGCGAGCTCAGGTAGGAGAGCAAAGTGCTGGGAGAGCAGCAGCTTCCTGCTTTTCTGAGAATGACGCAGGGATCGATTTGTTCCTGCAGAACGCTTCAATCCTGTCCTTCCAGCGTTTGGCAGGGAGGGGAGCGTCTGTTTTGCTGGAAGATATTTCAGCAGTCCTGACACGTGCTTTTGTGCTGCTCGGGGGCAGCGAGCCAGTCGTGGGCGCAGGGAGCTGGGTGCAGGTCTGTGGGCTCCTGGGGCTGTGGGGGCTGCCTGGGGGGCTGGAGCAGTGTGGGGCGTGCTGCACGGCGGGGCACCTTCTGTGTGACCGGAGTTGGGGTGGCTGTGGGGTCTGTGCAAGCTGTAAGTTTCTTCCCTTCACTCCTTAGGCATTGAGAATGAAGTGACTGGTTGTGAAATGTGGTCAGGCTAACAGGGAGAAAAACCTGGAGGAAGAGCTGCAGAATGCACTTCATTCTAATTGCTGCCTCTCTTCACAGCTGTTAGCGAGGCTGCCCCGTCTGTTTGCAGTGCTTGGGACAGGGACCTGGTGGGCACTTCTCTGTGTGATGCTCATTCACATTGCAGGTATCTCTGCAACCAGGATTCCGAGTCAGGATTCTGAGCGAGGCCTCGTCGTGCAGCCACAGAGTGGGGAAGGGAGGGGGAAAAAAAAGATTCCATAAAAAAAAAATGTTGTCAAGGAAACTGCTTTCACAGTCCCACTCTGTGCAGCCAATAAGGCACAAAGAAAAGTCTCACCACGCAGAGCTGCGTGCAGCACGGGCTAGGCTCCACAAACGTAATTGAGACAGCAGGAATTCAGTGCTAACTACAAAGCCTTGTTTTGATTACCGTGTGGACTCCATCCCAACCTACTGTAGTCGTTCTTTGTGCCTCCGTTAATGAGCCAGCCTCGCTTTCCTTTCTGTAAAGCTAGCCAGAAATTTTAAGTAGGAGAGGGGTCATGGGGAAGGTGTCAGAAATGACTGCAGGCTTGCTTTTGGTAGCAGTATTCTTCCTGCAAGGATAATTACTTAAAGCGAGACGAATGCTCTGCGTTTCAGTTAACTCCTCTCCTGCCTACATTAAATCCATTACGGGATGCCTTACGTCTGACATTTGCGTCTTTGTCCTTAATGATGACAGTAAATCTAAACACCCCAGGAGGGCTGCGCAGCGCTGCCAAGGCTCAGCCTGCTGCTGCTGCACGGCCGCACCGTCGCCCCGCGGCTGTGAGCGGCTCTGCTGGGAGCAGGATGGAGCCGGTGTCTCCCACACGCTCACATCACGGAGCTCCGAGTGACGCTGATGAGCCGCGGTTGCTGCCTGGTTACTGGGTAGCAGCACTGTCCCAGGTGGATCCGTCGGAGGTAATTCATCACACGGCTTTCGTGTTTGTGTTCTGCTGAGCCGAATCCAAGCCTTCCACTTCTTTCGGGACCTCAGTAAGAAATCAAAGCAAGGTTGCCAAAGGGCGGCAGAATTAAACTGTTGGCCTTTGCTTGGCTTTAAGTGATGCTCACAGCATTGAGTCTTCTGGCGAGAGCCGGGGTGGGAGGCAGCTCTGGGCAGCTGTTCTGCAAACAGCACTTGTGTCTGTCTGCCTTCTGCCCCATGGCTGCGATGGCTGGCAGCCCCAGCGCCTCAGAGCGCAGCCGTGCATTCAGCTGCTCCAGCCTGAAGTCCCAACCAGCTCTGCACTTCTGGGGCGCTTCCCTTCTGTCCCTGTTGCTGAGGATCCTGCCTGAGCTCAGCTGTCTGCAGTGGTTCTGCTGCCCGCCCCCAGGAGTTCTGTTCCTGGGCACTGTGGTGCCAACGGGGCGAAGAGGGGCTTCGCCGTGGGCCTGGCTGCTGGCACTGCTAAACCAAGTGGGTCTCCAAGCTGGGGCTGCAGCACTGAGAGATGAAATGCCACCTTTCCTCCTGCTCTCATGTTTATGTATTTGTGCTGTATGCGCTGCCATTACTCCACCTGTTTGATGATAATGTGTGTTTGGGATAGAGCAGCTGCTAAAGTGGCACGCGGGGCGGATCGCATCGGCAGGTGACATTTTTCACTGGGTTTATCTTCGCCAACAAGCTGGGCCTGCAATAAAGTGGCTGCTCCTTCATTTACCGCAGGACAAAGCTGCCATTATTCAGGGGCAGAAGAAAGCGAAGCCCCAGGAGATGAGCGGGGTGTGTGTGATATCCTGCCGCCTGCATGCAGGCATTAATGCGAGAGCTCAAGGTCAAAGGCTGCCCGGCTTGGGAGGCAGGAGGGGCCTTCAGCCTTCAGAAGGAAGAACGGTTTATTTCTTTGTCTCGTGGAGTCATGCATCAATTATCTGTGGCGTCTGAAAGCCTGGGGAGGGAATAGATTTGCTGCTCTTTCAGGGAGTTCTGTGTGTGCTGCTCGTTTGCTGGGCAGCAGATTCAGACTGCATGGCTCAGCCGGGGCCTGAAAGCAGAGGCACGATGCAGCCCACAGAGGGGAAACCTGGAGGGCAGCAGCTTTGCTTTCGGTCTCGGGTGGTCCTTCTGTCTTTCATGAGGCAAATGGTGCTGATAATGTGAATTAGGGAAATGTGCTGCACGCCGTTCTAGAGGGACTGCTGAGAAATTGAAGAAGAAATTACCAGTCCTGTGTGACAGAGTTGTGGCAGGCTTTAAATATCAGATCAGCTCTGGTCTCCAAGATCTAAAAGCGATTTCCTTGTGCTTTTATGTTTGAAAAAAAAACAAAACGGAGCCAAACCTGCTCGTCCCTGCTGCAGTGTTGTATCATGACAGGACAGCTTTCAGCCTGCTGCCACCCTGCTCCCAGAGGAGGGAGCTCAGTGCTGCGTGTGAATGCAGCTGCACCCCCTGTGATAAACCTGGGGGAGAGCCCTCGCACCACCCAGCAACCAGCACTGCAAAACCCATCCGCGGCAGGAAGGCACAGCTACAGGAGTTGGAATGGAAGCAGCTTTCTGCTGAGCACAGCAAGAGCTGAGCATCGTCTCAGCCTCCATCCCGAGGGGAATCCCGTGCTGTTGTGCTGTACAGGAGTCCAGCTGTGCAGTGCAGGTGGACCTGGGCTGCACTGCAGGTGTTGCAGCCTGGCTGGGGCTCTGGGGCTGCAGGAGGACGGAGGGGCCCTGAGGCAGTCCCCGGCTGGGATAACTGGGGGCTGTTTCCACCTCCGGATCAATAGCAATCAGCTCTTTGTTTTGAGGAGAAAACGTGTTCTGTTGTCTGAGTCCTCAGCGGTGAGCTGATTAGAGGAAGCAATTGTGCAGCATGAAAGGGTGCCTCTCAGCAGCACAGCACGTGGGTTTGCTTTGCTGCCTGCAGTCCATGCGCATGCTGCTCACCTCGCTCCACCACGGCATCAGAGCACACTGCTTTCCTCCCTGCCTCGTCCTGCTCAGCACGTGGAGCCCAGCTATCTGCAGTGCCCTCGCTGTCCTCCGTCCAGTTAGCAAGTTTTGGCAAGGGGGATAAATAGAGACCAGCCTCATATTGAAAGTGCAATAACACAGAAAGCAGTCGTGCTTGGAATCGGGCACGACTTGGAGGGCTTCTGCCTGCTGGGCTTAATGCAGCAGGGAGCATCTCCTAATTGATGGCAGCACTGCTGCTCTGGAACTCCGACAGGGAGCGCCGATAGCAGGTCGATACGTGCTGCAAATGGAGCAGGATTGGACCTGTTGCTCCTCAAGACCTCCCGTGACAAGGAAGGAATGTCTGCAGGCTGGGGAAGTGATTTCCCAGCTGGGCAGTGCCCTGCACTGAGCGCTGAGCGCCGTCCCATTACCGCGCTGCCGCTGTCACGCCGTGTCTCCACGCCTCATAAAGCTTCTATCATCAGCTCGAGTCCCTCATGGCTGCTGTGTGGCTGAGGCAGAAAACAGATGAGAGCAGCTGTGGGAGCTGAAGGCTGAGGGAGTTCCTGCTCCGTGGAACCCAGCGCTGCTCTCCAGTGAGAGGAGGGCAGTAAAGCACCGCAGTTCAGTGTGAGACAAAGGAGGGATTCTGGTTGGATGCCTTGGCAGAAGTCAGGCAGGAAGTGATTCTTATTCCCTTGACGAGGATGTTCCAAGGATAACAGTGATGCGGAGGGCAGCGACCTGCAGATCTTTGCTGTAACACCAACAGTACGCACAGCCCCCATCTGGGGATGTCCCCTGTTGGGAGGGCTTTGCTGGGTGCAGGAGGCGCAGAGCTGCCCTGGTTCTGCTCTCCTTCTTCCTCCGGGCTCCTGAAACCCATTAAAAGCCCACAGTGCTTCTCACGTCCCG